TTAAGTGGAAAAATGCCACAAATAGTAAATTGATATTTTAATTTTAATGAATAAAAAATACTTATATAAAGGTTTTCGCAAACGTTAATTACGATTACAAAGTTTAAAAAAGCAAAATTAAATTGTTTTATACAAACAATTTATTTGAGCAATTTATTTATGGTGCAATAATCCTTACTTTTGAAAATAATTACACAATGTTATTTCGTTGATAAAAAATTAATTAAAAATTGTATTTTTTCTACCAAAGAGTAACCATTTACTTATGGCTCGAAAATTCCAATTCCGAGTTGCAATAAAACTAATGACTTTACATTCATAAAAAAATAGTTCATATTTCTAATAATTTATACTATAATCATCTTTTGAATTCATCATATTAAAATTTACATTGTCATTAAAATCGTAATATATAATCTTACAAATTCCTAAATAGTCCAAAGTACATCTAATTGATTTAAGATTTTTAGAAATATCTTCATGACGAATATATGCTGTGATCACTACCACTCAAGTAATTAACAAAAAAATTTCAACATTTAATAATTATTTTAATAAGTCGACGAAGATTCCCATACTATAAAAATTAATCCTTTGATGAAAAATTAAAAGAAATATTTAGTAGTATTTAATTTTAATAAATAATTTTATATTTTATATAAAATTCAAGTTTACAAATTATGAATTAGAAAAAAATCGTGAGTGTTAATGCAATTGTGTTAATGCACTCTCGTTAGTTTGTACGATAGGCGAGATCTAAAAGAGCAAAACGATGTAACGTTACATCTGTGTTATGTTGCTTTGGGCACATAACGTTACTCTTAAAAATAGGGGAGGGAGCGAAATTCACTCGCATAAGACGTAATAGACTTAACTTATAAAAATGGAGTAAGTGCCAGAGAACTCTGCAACATTAATAGTGCATAATTTCACAAGGTATTAGAGACATGCACCTTGCACCAGATGTTGTTTCTAATGTCACAGCACCGTGCGGAGAAAAATTAATAAAACAGAATTTTCAACGGAGAAAAATATCAGTAGATGAAAACTTTTAATTACTTTTAATGAGAAAAATCTCTACTGTATGTCCAGTTTTCATCCTGTGTTTAGATATCATAGTAAGTTTAATCTCGATATGCGCTGCATATAAAGAAAGAAAAGAGAAGGAAGAGAGAGAAAGAGAGAACGCGAATGCGCTCTTCTATATACATTTTAGATTTCACGGGGAATTTGTATGACACTACATAATAATTACATGCGGTAGAGAGGATTCAATAAGTGTGTTAATTTAATTCGTTACGCATATTAATATCATCGTAATATTATAAGTACAATAAATATATATTTTGATTAAAGCAAAATTATTTTATATTATTCTATATGGTGAACAAGCCCCTCTCATCTGTCATAAATTATCGAGTTATCACCAATTAAAGTGCGATAAACAATTATGAATCTTGTAATTTGCAATATAATAATTAATTCATGCTAAGATATATAGCAATTTTCAAAATAACTACTAATGATAAAATAACGCTGCAACTACAAATAATTCAGTTCAAAGTCTAAAACTCTTCTATTAGCTTTTGGCAACGATATAAAAACACAGTGTTTCTCAATATATGCGTAGGTCTTTCGAATTCTGTTACGTTTCTTTCTCGCGGTAATAAATATTCTGGAATCATCTCGCAGTTATAGGGATGGGATTAAGTTTCTCACGAGTATTCAAATTGTTTGCACGATTTCGAACTTTTTACGATTACATCACACGGGAAAAAGTATTCAATTTCAATATATGGAATATATATTATTTCTATTACTCGAATTCTCTCTAGAGAATTGAATGAAATTCGATTATTCGACTCGGATTTTTAAGTACATTGAACTCGATCCCATCGCTACTCGCGGGCCCAACCCACCGATCTGTCCAATCTCGCAAAATGCTCCGGAGGAGGCATCGGCGGGATCAGGTAACAGGAGAAACCTCGGCGATTTCTCCGTCAGCGATTACCCCCGTTGGTCTGGTCTCTCTCTTCGAATATCCAGATGGTCCGTCCAGGACATAACTCAGGATTTCACGTGCGCCGGTAACAGCACGGCTACACACGATGGACCGTCGGCACAGAGAGACGCATAGTGAATGAATGAGAGAGAGAGAGAGAGAGGGAGAAAGACGCGCGCGTATACAGGGTGGGCTATTTTAATATCCCGTCCCAAATATCTTCATTTTTTTTACAAAAAAAAATTGTCGCACAAAAATTGTTTTGTTTTAAGTTGAAGAGGGACACAAAATAGCGAGATCAATTTGTTAACGAGACCTACAATTTTGATTAAAAAATTAATTTCGATTTCCAGTTAAAAAAAAGTGACAAACAGCGAACAATCTCCCGAAAGAGATACCATCTGTAAACTAATTAATATCGCTATCTCGCGTCCCCCTTAAACAACTTTTGCGCGAAACATTTGCTTAAAGAGACGCAGGAAAAAACGGTGGGATAATAAATGGCCCACCCTGTATACGCAAGGAGAAGCGGATGAAAGGGCGAGATATGGTAGTGGTAATGTATGCAATTGGACCGACCGGCGTTCACAGTGGATGGACGGTTGTTGGTCGGTTATGGGTGGTGACGCCAGGGCACGACACTGGATTCCGTGACCCAACAGGGGTCGAAAAGGGAGGGAGGACAAAGGGAGACAAGGGTCGTCGCATACACAATCGTAGAATCCCCACGTGGCGCGGCCGCGCCTGATATTATATGGTGTTTAGCTTGCCATGGGGTGATTTAACTTCTCTCTCTCCTCTCTATGTCTCTCTTTCCGCATGATCGCGTCGAGTTAAGTTGATCGCGCCGCGTCAAGAGCAGCCAGAGCGATAATAATCCGCGCACGAGTTGGTCGAATAAACGAAAATTAAAATTGCGCCGCAAATTTTTTGCCTGCGAAAGCGTTGTACGAGTTTCGAATTTCAGTTTCAATCCGGGGTTCTTTTTTTTTTTTTACTGCGATAATATACATTTGACGTATGACTTAAGCGACGTTTTAAAAAAATTGCGAAGGGAAAATTTCATATTATTCAATGGAGAGACACAAAGATTAAAAGTGATCATGTTTTTATCATACATATATAGTTTATATGTATGAAATAAAAAAGTTTACGCATTTTTTTTCCTAGAAAAAACCAAAATTTTACATATAAAATTTTTGCATATCAAAATAATTTATTTAAATTTAAAAATCCATAAAGAAATCCTACATAATTTTAAACGATTTGCTGATCAAGAAATTAACTTAATTAAACAATTGTAATATCGTAATTGCAAATTCTTTCAATATCTAAAATTAAATAAAATATATGAGAAATTGAAATTCTTTTCCCTATCCTCTTTTTCTCTCTCTCTTCATATTCCGTAAAATAAATATATTTAAATTAAAAAATTACTATTAAAAATTAGAAAGAGATTGGCCTCTTTTCAAACAAAAAAATGTAATGTAATTATAGTAATGAAATTCATAGCTTTTGAGCTCAAAACACGAACAAACATGCAAAAGAATGTCCTGCAGGTAAAACGTAAAAAGAAAAATATACCGGTTTTCCACTTTATACTTGTAACATGTTTAAAACGTGTTGCTCTATTATACGACTTCTATACTATGTATCGCTGGATTAAACAAACTTCGCATCACTTTAATTACCGCCTTAATCTAGCTCGCGGCTTCGGATCCGAATGCATCCTAACGGAATGTAGACGCAGGAGAGTTTCGTAAATGGTCTCGCTTCCTTATATAATTACTGGTCTTTGAAAGTTTAAGCGGTTTCCTACCTTGACGTACTGCTCGGTTCGCTTGACGAACGGTGTACTTCGAAGAGTGTAGAAGAAGAAAAGGAACGAGACGTTTATTGCAGTCATTCGGCTCGGCAATAGGAATAACTTTCGAGTAATCTAACCTTCTGCCTTCGCAATCTTCGCAAAATGTCAAGCTCACTTCGAATTTTTATTAATGTCAGCATCGATAAAAAAATCGTGCTTCTTCAGAAAAAAATCTAATTCCTGAGTTGCTTCTTTGTAACTCATATACAAAAATATTTTACAAAGCATATTAATATATTCCTTTTAATATAATTGTATTTCTTTTTACAAAGAATTGTAGAACGCACATGTAGTATGATTTAAAATTCAAAGTTTTTTTATATAAATTTATTTTACACGAGATATATAAAATAAAAGTTAAATTATTTTTATGTGGTTTTTTTATAGTTTCAAATTTAAATTTTACACAAAAGAGATACGCTTTTATCTTGGAAATTAGCTCGAATGAAATGTAAGCGTTATTTTAAAATTACAATTTAGATTAATCTTTCAAACTATTATATAACGATATTTCGACTAAAAATATGTAACTCTCAATATATTTCTCATTAAATATATAAATACATTAAAAATCATTTTAAAACTTAATTCTCATTAAATATTAAAACTGATATTTGAATTGAATGCTTAAAATTTCATAAAGAGAGATAAAATTTCAACACATGTTGCTAGAAAAAAATATTTGCAAAATATAAATTCGAGGGAGATAATTTTCAAATCAAAAACAAATTAACTTGCAATTTATTCGAAAATATATAGAGAATTGTTATTACGAGAAGACACCTCTTCATTAACATTAATATTAGAGTTCGCGGTCTATCGTTGAGTTTATTACGAGGACATCAGACATGCAAAGTTAGAAATTACCCGCTCGCCTAAGGCTGAGCCAGGTACAATTATATCGCACTGCTGTAATCTTAATTTGCATATGTTTGCGAGGAGAGTTGCGCCGCCGGCATAGTAATTATTACATCATCAGATTCAAAATCGTTATTTTAATTAAATAATAAAATATATAGCCTCGATCAACGCGTTCGCTTCTTCTTTTGTCACGCAAATAATTTCTTTAACGTAATATGTCCTAATAATATATTCGCGATTATTTGAAAGCCAAAAATTTAAAGCACTTACCTTTTGATAGTTGAGGGCGAGCAACAGATACTTCCTGTCGGCGGATAACTGATGATCAAAGCTCGACAACAAGGACTGTAAAATAAAGATTAATAAATTATTACAGAATTATTCATAAATGTTATTGCAATATAAATCATATATTTCGATTTTAATTCAAATTTTCACATCCTCAATAAATAGTTTATAACATTATGTGTATAAGTTGCTTTGTTGAATTTGGCTTTCGTCCGGAAGCACGAAACGCAAAACGATTATAATTTGCATTTAATGCTTAATTAATTTCCCGCGTGAATTAATGTTCTAACCCACGTGAAGGATTAAAATGCAAACGTGATCGCTGCTCACTAATTACAACACGAAAAGTTAGTTCAGTATCTGTACAGGACCATATCGCATACAATGTACCTAAATACGAGAAGGTGCATTAATGCGGTGTTAAAATCTTAAAATATTCTATAAGAATTCCTTAATCTTTCAGATGTTTTTGTTTAAAATTCCAGATGAAATAAGAAAATTTGTAGATGCAACTTTTTAAAATAAACACCTTTATATGGGATGCGTTATCTAATGTTTTCAATTCGTACGATTACTAATATAATTATCAAGAATGTAATTATTTTAGCATTTTATTTATTGATTTATTAATATAAATTATAAAATTACTTTGGACAATATATATTAAAAATACAATATATCTAAAGATATATGCAAAAATATAAAACAAAAAGTATAATTTATTATGATCGTCTTAAAGAGTACTAATTTATTTAAATATTCAAACTTTTTCCACAAAATTTATACAAGATACTAAAAGATATCCAAAGAAATCACACGAAATCTTAACGAGAACTTAACTATCTCATCATTTTATAATGCTAAATAAGAATAAATAATCAAAGACACGGTTTTGGAAAAAATTCCACGAATTCTCAAGATAAAAAATCTCGGAACTGGACACTCCGACTAACTAATTAAAAAAAGAACAAAATCACACAGTGAGTGAGAGAAAAGTCGGAAAATCTCTCGAGCCGCGATAATCGAAGGCCAAATCGTGCTCGTCCGTAGGATGGGAGCTTATCGTTGATATTACGCTTGTAAAACGAGTCGTTAAGCAGGATGGAAACGTACTGCGAATGCGGTGACGAGCGCATCAGAGGAGGCATTATGCCGGAACGCGGTTTGTCGAAATCACGACGAGTAAATTACGATCGTCCCTGAATGAGCTACGGCGGTGACCCTCTCCTCTAATGGGACGAGGTCGCGAGATCCGAGCGAGACTAGTTTCCCGGCAGCTGCCGCCCCGATCGGTGGACCGGATCAATCCGGGATGATAGTCCGCAGTTTAAGCCGTACCATCGCGATCGTAATAATACGGTAATAACTGTACGGCGGCCGACGAAGGCCATTATTACCTTAATAGGACGACAAGTTTATTCGCGTGATAAACGCGGTTAACGGGTCATGCTTCTGCCCGTTCTTGAGTTGTCAGTCTGGTAAGTGCTACTTTTTATTGACCTGTGAGAGCCTAACAGCGCATGTGGAAATTAATCAAGAGTCATGAGAGTTTCAGATTTTATTTGAATTAGGAAAAAAAGAATCCTTTCTTGATATATCTCTGATTGTGTATGTTAATCTTTTACAAATTATCTCGTTATATTAATTAATACATAAAAAATTTATTTCACGAATTAGTGTCATTAAAATCTTCAAGATAAAGTTTTTTTTTTATAAATATTATATATTTTTAGAAATATTGTTTATTTTATATGTAATTATTTAATAATAATATATATGATATTATTATTAAAGTGTATTAAAAAGAATGAGATTGTGAAAAAATGTTTAGCTAACATATTTATTATCATTGATGCATACACATGTTTATCCGGTTCAATAAAGTTCTCAGAAAAAAAAGATTTATCTCAGATACAATATCGGCATCGAAAACAAAGTGACACTGACAGTTTTATTATGTTACGTGGTAAAGTTATCATTCTATTAGAAACTTTCGGAACTCATTTTAAAGTGTTCTGCAGGGACAGCTTGACACGTACTAATAAACTTGTTACTCAACATGCAAAATTTTTATACGTAACGTACAGAAATAAAATGCAAATTTAATCTGTCATGCAGTTTAAAATTTATTTTTCGTACTAAAAAAATATGTATAACACGTGGATTAAATTTTATCGTCGTAATATCTTGAGTAATCACAGTGTGAAAAATTACACTTTACAAAGATAAACATATATATATATATATATATATATATCCTTCTTCAATATAACAACTCATTTTTAAACAATTTCAGTGCAACCATCATCCAATATATCATGAATTCTCGAGGAAAACCGTAGAAAGAATTTTATTTATTATGCATTTAGATGCAATTGTATCTGACGAGCCTATTCTCGGTGCAAGTGCATTCCAAGCACAAATGCTATATGTGTGTATATATATACACATATACATACGTGAGCAAAGCTACACGGAGCATAAACTCCCTAATAGCTTTCAGACTAATAGCAGGAATGTTCCGATAAGATTGCAGTCCGTCTAAACTGCAAGAAGGGTCGAGTTGCACTCGAAGATTTCGAACAATGCAGCGAACAGAAGACTTCATTTAACCTGAGAGAGAGAGAGAGAGAGAGAGAGAAAAAGAGAGAAACGACAAAAAAATAGTTCGAGAGCGTCACGCTGGTCAAAAGCCACTTTGCACTTTCATTTCAGTGCCTCTCTCACAATTTGTACCTAATTGAAAGAATTAGCTTGCTTCGCTTGTTGATTACGGCAAGTGTGATGAAAGGAAAAAGAGATTTCAACCGAGAGAAGAGATCGTCTTTTCATCTCATCGTTTGGAAAATTTCAAGGAAGAAATTAGAGTATCATTAGCTTATTATGGAAATAACAAAGAACAATAAAAACTGATATAATTATAATTTTTCTCTATTTTTGTATATAATGCGGGAAAAAATTATGGCATAAACTTCGTATATCGCGATCATGCAATCATTTTCATAACATAATAAATCGAATTTTAATCAAAAGATTTCTTTAATAAACAATATTTTTGAATGTTGTACAACACGCAAGTATTGTATAACATGAAATCAGGCTACAGAATATTTTTACTGTATTTATCTATTAAAAATTTTAGTAAGGCTGTCAATGTGAATACAAATTTAAACAAGTTTTCAACAGGATCCAGAAAGAGATTAAGTTGCGCACAAAACACAAATATTAATCTAGGTAAATTAAATCTCAATTCGAGATTTCCTGAATCTCAATAAAATTCCATGAAACAATTCCCGCAATTTTCAAGCTAAAAATCCCTGATTCGATTTTTCCAGGGGGAGTAGCCCCTGTATATTTTCGTAAACCGCGAATCATTAAAAAAATGTAAAACAGTAATAATAATCGGAAATGACAGCTACGAGGGAAAATTAATCCGAAACAAATCAAAACCCAGATGTGGCAAAAACATGTACATACATACAGGGTGTCCCAGACCTACTGTGTCACACGTTAATGCAGATTCCTGAGGCGATTTGGAGACGATTTTTCCTCAGCGAAAATGTCGAGAAAAATCATCATTTTTTAACGTTCCCAATTTTTGAAATCATGTATCTTTGTAACTAACCCTTAAATTCAAATTCCATTAAAGTAAACTTTACCTGAAATTAACTAAAAAATGTAGTTTTGTTAATAATAAATTTTTACAAGGCTTAGTTTACATAAAGCTTTTATTTTCAATCATTTCTAACTCGAAAATGATCAGTGCCTGGCCATTTTCACCGAGGAAAGATCGTCTCCAAATCGCGCGATTCGGTAGGTCTGGGACACTTTGTACGCGTAAAAAATAATTCCACTTCACACGATACGTAAATTCATCATTCGCGGAAGCTTGCGTGTCCCGAAGACACCCCGATGTTAAATCTCGAGAAGATGAGGAGCTATCGTAGCACACAGATGTCGTAATGAATCATTTTACAAGCCGGGATACCTAGCTACCACCCTATCCTACAACACGCGCGCGTTGCGCACGTGAACGAGGATCGTCGACGATAGATTGCGCGCGTCGGAACGTGAAAGATAACGAGCAATTACCGTCACCGGCCGCGATCTCTTCGGCGGGAATAACGACGAGGACGGAGAGAGAGAGAGAAGGATGTCGCCGATGCATTGCGGCGACCCGGTGTGCATTACATCCCTCTCTCGTATCCGCATCGCGAAATCATTTCGACCCTTCCCCTAGACCGTTGCCGATTTTCCATCAACCGCTGCTTTCGCATTCGATCCGCACGCGCGGCTTCCGTTTTCGTACACGCGCTTATAATGGGAAGAGCCGGTTTTAATTGATCGCGCGCGCGGATATGAATTAGAGCGGGAAAGAAAATTAGGGAGGAATGGAGAGAGAGAGATACTATGTATGTTTTCGTTGGTGCATTTCGGTCGTTATCTGCGATTTCGGAAGTGAAGCTCGCAGTTGCGACGGTTCGTACGATTAATTATTCGCTCGGCTATTCGTTCCAAGCGGTTTCTATTTAATCGCACGCATGTTAATGCAGCAATAATTGTTGCGCATACATTAGCGTGCGCGCGCACGTGCAGAAATATTCTCTCGCACTGGTGGAACGCATCCTATATGGTATTTATGGTATTAATTGTTCTAATAACACAGTGGCATGATATAAATTATTTTTATGTATTTCATATTATTGAGATATTATGATATGCATATCATTGTTTTATTCAATTATTATCTCTAATTATTTTCAATTTTGATTTCAAAATTAGCGAGCCTGATTTAATTTCGCATATAATTCAAGACAATGTATATAACGTGATATAAAATAATTATATTAATATATATTATAATATTATATATTATATAATATATTTATATTATAAATACATATAATGTATAATATTATACACATTATAAGTATATGTTGTTATATTAATATTTCTAGTAGAAATGTAACATGGGATAAAATAATGACTCCAAGTTTCGTTATGAGCAGAAAATTTCTCGATACGGTCTGCTGAATATCATGCAAACTTTGGAGAGTCTTCTCTCTCTCACGAGAACTTTTATACACTTATATATATAACGTGGAGAAATCTGAGAAAACTTACGGGATTGTTGGAATCCAACAGGATCTTGGATGCGGCCGAGCTGACGTTGTAGATCATTAAATTACCTATCTCGTCCCGGTAGAGAATCTCGTCTCCTGCAACAAGAGAATTATACGTGTGTTGTAATTAAATTTACGGATGAGAAATGTGATATTCTTATCATGACGTTTCGCATATATTTTATTTTATATTCGCGTATGTTTTAAACGAGACTCTTTCATTCACAAAATCTCATCTTCTTCGCACGCATGTTGATTAGAACCAGGCTAAGTAAGCAGATATACACATAGAGAACCTTTGTGTAACGTTTAAATTTGTTTAATGAAATAACATATTCCAAAAAATGCTATATATGGGTGAGAGGTGTATTAAAAATATCCATATCTTATATTATCGAAATACAATATAAAGAATATATATTGTATTACTTAAAATTAAAATATTCATAATAATACATATTTCAAATTAGATGATATATTAAATTTGATAATATATTTTAAATATTTTTCTTTCTTCGCATACCTAATGAAATATCCCTTACATCTAAAAATTCTTTTCAAAAATTTTCCTTCGTCTCTTTAATCGCGATTTCCGGAAAACCGCGGCTACACTCGCTCTTTTCTCCATTAGGAACTATGAAGAGAAAAAAAAACGAAACCTCTCCGGTAATGATGATTGATTAATTGCTTCCACATCGTCCGATCGTCTTTTATGTGAGGAAAACCGAGCATGTAGTTTTCCTTTGAGCGCAATGAAAGTAGAAGAAAGATAGAAGGAAAAAAGAATAGAAAAAGGGAGAAAACAAGAGAGAAGAGAAGAGAAAAAAGGTACGAGTAAATTTCAAGATAGGCCGTCCTTCTCAAAAATCGGTTCTTCGCGAGACGACACTTCGTCGTTTCATCAATCTTGGCAGGATCGCCGCCGTAAAAATCCTCCGGGATAACAAGCGTTGAGTTAGGTGGCGATAGACCACGTGAGTAAGAAATATTTTTATCGTTATCGAAGAGAATAAAGCACGAGAGAGGGAAACGAACGAGTATAAGCGCGAGAAACTTCCGCAGAGCGCGAACACATGCCTGGAAAAACGTTCGTTCGACAGATTTCTTTTTTTTTTTTTTTTATTATTGGCAAAGTGAAACGCGGGAAATTTATGGTAAATGTATGGCGATGAGAATAGAGGGAGAGTAATATCTCGCGCGAAAAATTTCTTTTAATTGTCTTTGGATATTCGGCGATCGATAAACGCAGCAAAATACACGAGGTCAATGACGCTTGATTCAGTGACACTTAAAGAGTATGTCTATTCCAATTTCCTTATTCCTTTCAGAGAAAGATTCGACAAACAGGAGGAATATTTTTTCCCTTTTTTTTTCTCACACTCTTGTCTTCTTGAAAAACTTATAAATAAAAATCAATTATGTACAAATAGTTTTCATATAATTTCTCTAAGGTTCTTTCTTAAAGTGCGCATGTAAAAAAATATATATTTATACGTCTAATACAATTTATTGAAAAATGATGATAAAGAATATCTATCTCAATAGAAAAATAATAAATAAAATTACATATATATATTTTCCATAACAATTTTCCTAGAATCCTTCTTAAAGTACGTGTAGATAAAAAAAGAGAGCAATCGTACGTGAGATACAGAGGTTTCCTCGAAATATCAAACAGACGCACCCCTTTAAATGCGACAGGTCTGCGTGTTTGCGGTATAAACCTCGTTCCGCACGGCTGCCGGTTGTTCGCCCGACCGACAAACAAGGGGTGGCATTGTATTGCAGAACGAATCGCACCGTCCGACGCGACACGGTGAGCTATTTCAACGTACGGATCGTTAGATCGCTCGGAGGAGATCCGGCTTTTTCGACGGTTCGGTTGCTGGAAAAATTTTCCGACGCGAACTTTGATCCTTGGGAAAAAGGACCGTTGATTTGCGTCTCGCAAACGGTTTTTTTCTTTTTTTTTTTTACTGACCTTGCTTCGTTTTCGAGAGAGAATTTGCATCCCCGTACGGCAAACAAAATACGAAAAGGTCGCCCAAACGAATCGACGTTATTTTTTAACTTGAAAAATCCGAAATCGTCAGAGTGATTACGATCTTTGGGAAACTGTCAATTAAATGATTTTTTTTCATTAATTTTTCTTACATAGTTTATTCATTTTAATGTTGATAATCTTATATTTAATGCAGTTTTGCGCGCACAAAAAAAGGAAAGATTGATTTAAAACGCCCGAGAAGAAGCACATGTTCGGCAATATGACGCCATAAAAGTTAAAATACGATATTATGTATCAGAGAGAGATTAATTAACAAAGTTTCCCAAAGCGATATGGATGCGCGTTTGAAGCTCGTTGCCTCTTTCAACGTCAGTATAAGTTCCCATTACTTTCGTAATTGTTATCATGAGACATACATTTTAATATTAATTTCCAAGATGATGTATTATATCGCATTTTATTACCTTAAAGCAGCATCTTATCTTTAAGAATTACATTATGCATATAACGACAATATATGCGGTGTGTATAACGATCAGCAGATACAGATTCCTTTTTTGTAATTTAAGAGAATATAATTCTTGTAATTTTCTTGCAATTCTTCGTTTGTTTACTTTTATGTTCTTACAAAGATACAAAAATTAAGCCCAGATTATATGATATAGATCAGAAAATAATATTTATTAACGGAAACGAGAGATGATGTACCAAAATGAATATTGCATAATTACATATAATTCGTTCAATCATTTCCTATTAATTAATTATGCAAAGAAGAAATAATAAATTATTTTGAAGCTTTTAACGTCATTTTAATTCCACTTAGTTTAATTTCATTAGGCAGATTTATTGAAATAATTTATCATTTTCTTTCTGTGTAATTAATTAATAGTTAATTAAACAAATAATATACAAGAAAACTATAATTTTTTGTTGATACAAAAGATATTGAAGAAATTGCTACATTATAAAATTATAACATTTTAAATTATAAATTTAATAAACTGAAATAATTTCTCCTCAGTTTATAAGTATTGCGGAATCTTTTTTTAAAATATTAAAAAAGTGTGATATATACACACACAATTCTTTAAAGATTTATATCATAGATAATATTTCCAACACATAAAGAAATGTGTATTTCTTCAAGGATTCAAGGAATAATAAATCTCAATAATTATACATTCAATTACAAGATCCGTGTATTATTTTATTTGTAATATTTACCTTTGGCTTTGACATCAATGATTCTCTTTCATCGATTTTAATATGCTTAAAGCATTCACGTTGACTTTATGCGTAATTAAACTCTGAATTGTTTGAAATAACTATGCATTTAAATATTCTATACCCTGCTATTTCCAATTTCTTGTGCAAAGCACTGGATTAAATAGAACTGTTTTGTTGCTCGAACAATTGAATTAATGATGGCAAATTAATAAGCGTTAAATCTACTGAGAAAATTATAAAGCCGTATTAAAATTATAAATAAATTCGCCTTTGTCATACGCAGACTACATAGCAAATTTTCATAAATAGTTTCGTGCGAGCGAAATCATGCTGAAAATTTTCGCACATAATTGCAATATATCGAGTATTTTCCAGCATAATAAAGGAAATAATAACTTTGTACCATATTCTATATACGTTTACGAACAAGATGTGTTTATTATTAACCTCTAGTAAGAGGAATTTAAAAAATATATTCAAAAATAATTATAAATCTGTCGTAGAGAAAATATTTTCAATATAGACCCGAAAAATATTATTAATCCTATTAATGTATCAATCAATTCTCATCAATCATAATAATTTGTTTTAATTCAGATTAACGAGAATTAGCTGTGAAAATAGAAATTCTGAGTGAAAATCAAATAATTTTTGCAAAATAATTAGATCCTCAGAATGATCGTTGACGAAACATATGACAAGTTGCTTTGTTATCGTGCTCTTCGTGTTGTTTGTCACTTAAATGAGACAGCGGCGTGGAAGATGATTTACATCGAGAGGTTCGACCGATTTCTCATGGCGGATAACAGCGTTAACGAGACACCATCGTCGTATCTTTACACGTGGGACACAACAAGAAGACATCCGGAGCGATGTAGTCCGGGAGCGATGGTTGGGAAACAGAGACCCCGACGTCTTCTGGGATTTCACGGCGACGGAACAACGGGAGGCAAAATGGGAGGAAGAACCGCGACGTTTACGATTTACCGCCACCGAGCGCGTATATCTCGCAAGAAATAGGCCGAAACGAAAAATGCAAACGAAGCGTGAATTTTATAGGTTGGCTCCCGCGAAAGCGCTATCAGGCAAAAATATCGCGCGTCAGACTGGTTTAAGGTCGAGTACTTTTTTTAATGGACCCCTTTACCCCATATCTCTCTCTCTCTCTGTATCGGTTGGTAAACGATACCTATTCTCGTGCAAATTCGCGAGTGACTAAACTTTTAACGAGATCTATTGTCGATGTAAAAAAAATTTAATCGAGGTTTTATTCGTCCATCTCTATCCGAGGCGTCAATTGACACGTATTGTATTTCCCAACGAGAATATCGAGCTATAATAATAATTTAAAATTTATTGTTAATATATGAGTTGTTTGAATACTTTTTTCATCAAATTCATCAACAGTTTCTACGAATGTAAATTAATGCTCGCGGCGGTTTAGGACTCACCCTCGAGCAAACGGTAAATCATCATTAAAATCGGGCATAAATAAATTTGTGCGAAACAATGCTCATTTAATTAATATCCGGGGAGGGGGAAGAGAGAAAGGGGGCGAATTGTTTCTTTTAATGTCGCATCATTACGTAATGATTAATGACGCGTATTACTCCCGCGTCCCGATTAAACCAACAACAGACTGGAATAAATTTTGCAGCTAGTTTGTCGAATCCCACATGCGTCGCCGGCCTATTTCCCGTGTCTATATTCATATACATGGTGTCCCAAAATTAATAGTAAACCTGTTAACGGCAGACCATTTCGAGACAATTTTTCCTTAGCGACAATGTCGAGAGAGGCCATCATTTTTTTGCATGTTCCCAATTTTTGCCATCATGCATCTTCGTAATTAAAACTTAAA